AAAACAGCGTGGTTTTCCCACATTTAGCTCAATACTCTTGGATTAGAAATGGCTTTAAGCTCGCATTAAGGACATTTACTGGATACTGAAAGCAGTAGCAGAATATTTGACTGACGCTTGTCTCCTCTCACAGGCGCGGCCTCGCCTTCAAAGGGGAGGTAGTTCTGCCTCGCTGCACAACAGCTTGATGCGGAACAGCATTTTCCAGCTGATGATCCACACGTTGGACCCTTTAAGTGAAGGTAAACTGCACACAAAAAGAAGTTTTTAACACAAAAGACATACAGCACAGATATTCTTTTTTTTTTTAACTGTCCAACATTGTGTATTTCCAGATTGACCGAGCCTGGATCTTGTCTTCATTCTTGTCTTTAACTCTTAAAATTGTATTTTGAGATGTGTCAGAAGTGGATTAACTAAAAACATGTAATTTCTTCCACAGGAAGAGTGCTGTTGAGCTCACATTCTCTTAACCAATGAATAACATAACAGAGTGTTATGACGAAAATGTTGGCTTTTATCTATTCACAAGCTCCCCGCGTACTTCTTTAAACACAGAAGCTCCACTGTTAACATTGAAAAGTACTTGTACAGTCCCTGTGTTGTTTGTACATAAAAAAAAACAAAAAAAAACGGTCCATGTAAGACAAAATGCACTCGGGGCTGAGGTGAAACACCGTTCTCCTTTAATCCAAGTCCATTAGCTTAGCTAAGAAAAACGTTAAAAAAAGGCGTCAGCGTCAGTGCTCGGCACAGGGGATGAATATGTTAATATGCCGAGTGAGGCGCGGTGTCATTCTCAACCCATCCTGAACGTGATGAAGGAAAAATGAAAAATGTTTATGAAAAGCAAACAGGGAGCAGGGGTTTGAGGAGGGTGACGAATCCTAATCCTTAAAAATGAATATTAATGTTAAATGCTGAATCCATCTTACTAGCCGATGTCATTTTTCCTCATCTTTTTCTTCCACCTTTTTGGTTTTCATGAAAGTTTACATTCAGTTTGGTTTGTTTGGCTGAAAAAAAGCATCACTGTCAATACACAGTAAAATATCGCATAGGTCCTACAGCAATGTGTGTTAGCACAAAAACAGAATTAATATTTTCCTTCTGGATTGATAGGACTGCATTAGCAATTGGCTGCTCTGTAGTCCAGAGGCATTTCAGCTTTCTCTGAAATGACTTTACTTTGCTTGAAAGCCAAGCTTGGAATGAGTCAGCTCAGGAAAGATTAATAAGCCTTAAAGTGCCCATTAACATGCATCAAATCGCTGTTGTACACTGAACCCAAGGCGTCCTGTCTCTGAGTGTATTCATCATCCCATCGTAGTGATTAATGGTAAATCACAGCCTGAGTGCAAGTCTGTAAGACCACTGTTGTATATGCATGCATGTATATATGTACATGTTACACATAATCCACCCAGTTGGGTTCTCGTAGTGTCTTTTTCAAGGCATCTGATAGTAGTATTCACTAAGTTAAGCTAAGTTATGCGTGCAAGATATGAACTGAATTCTTTATTTTCTCTTGGTTTTAACTGATTTATTTATTTGTGTCCAAAATAAGTTCCTATTTGCCAAAAAAAAAGTTTTTAAAATGGTCAAACCTACTTTAGTATGAAAGCAGCCGAGATGGCAGGACATACCAAATTTGATTGATGAGGTCTTCTGGCAAATTAACGGCTGGAAATTAATTCGCTGAAACAACAGCTACAGTGTGACATGACACAATCAATGAATTCATTATTGTCAAGAACAAAAGCAACACGTTGGGCTTCCGATGATTTGCATGTATTATTTTGAAATTTCCATGTAGCACATCGGAAAGTTTTCCTCGTACTCCAATGGACATGTACCCGTGATAAGTACAGACTTAAGTACATCTGAAAAAGCACTTATCAGAGGCCTCATTTCCTTGGAACTCTTAACAACTTCATTGGCTGCAGGACTGCGAAGGCCCAATCAAGACAGACCCTATTGGGAGATGAGCAAATATGTTCTATAAACATTTACTGGCATCATTAATGCAAAGGAGCGTTTACTGGGTGAGCTTACAGCATAGAGAAAGACGAACAGGTGCATCCATTTTAGTTGGAGGCTTGTGCTGTGTGTCCTTGTGTGCTCTTAGGCATTAAGTGTAGCTCAGCAGGGACGTGGGGAGCTGGCAGGGCTCCTTCCATACATTTTTCATTCGCATTTCTCAAAATAAGTTGTTCAGGCTTCAGTGCTGAAAGGCTCTTGTGCCAGTACTGAGAGCTTGTTAGCTTTTGGTTATTAGAGTTTTAGTGATTTAGAGTTTGTTAGATGTGTGTGTCCGTGTGTGTGTATGTGTGTGTGTGGTCGTTGTATTGCAAACACTGTGGGGACTGAAGTGTTTTTACACATTATGGGGACAAAAAGCAAATAACAGCAACAATATGATATAAATCATATTTTCAAGGGAAGACAAGTTTAATTTGAGGACATTAGGTTAGAGCTTCCTTTCTTCTGCTCTGTTTTGTCTGTAGTGACCACAAAAAGTAGTTTGAATATAATCTATCTGTGTTGTTTCTTCAGCGTATGCCTTCATTGCAAAGTGCATTTTATATCTAAACATGTAAAACCTAAGATTTTAAATCTATGTGTGGCAATGTATATGTTTCTGCCATATCATGGGGATATGATTATTCATTTTGTTGCCCAGAGTTAGATGAGAATAACTGCACTCATATTTATTTGTTATTAACAGGACATAGCTACACATAGGATAACAGTAACAGTGTTTTTTTTTTAGCTATGCTACATGAGCTACATGCTACATGAGCTACATGCTACATGCTACATGAGCTACATGCTACATGAGCTAAGCTAGCATCTCCTTCCTTCTGTCCCTTTTAATGCTTAGCCTAAAAACAGAGGAGTAGTACCTGCTTTCTCATCTAACTCTCTGCAAAGACGTCCAAAATAAGTTTTGAGTTAATTTAATCCCATGAATGAAGAGCTAATGATATTTAATTTAACACAACCCTTTCTCATCTTGGAAATACCTATCAATGATTAAATGTTCGCTATTGGACTAAATATCACCTGGATTTATCTTGTCTCTGTTTCTGTCTTCTTATTTCTCTTTCGTTCATTGTCCCTTCAGAATTTGCTGACTCTGGTGAGTTACTCCTCTAATTTCTGTATCTCCCCCTGCTCCAAAACAATATGTTTGTTCTCATTCCAACAGCCTGGAGGCAACTCTTGTGCCCAGTGTGTCCCTTATGTATACATTTCCTAAGCGCCGATGTGCTGTATGTCAATTCTGTACCGTACCATCCCTGCAGACTCTCTTCTTCAGATATCTCATTCTCTCCTGTGGGTGCTTTTTCCCTGGAAACCCTCTGTTACCATTTCTACATTGTTTTCCCCATCGTCCCTAATCCTCTCTCTCCTCTTATGAACTCCTTTGTGATTTTTAGCTTTATAAGTGCTGTTCTTTGTGAGACACGTTGAGGCCCAAAATAAGTGCTTTGGGTTTTCCTGTCAACATTGTATGTCACTCTAGGTCTGTGAGGCTAAGCAGATATTTAAGCAGACAGAATTTGCTGTGGGAAAGAGACAGAGTAAATGTGTCAGCCTTTTGCTTAGGTCATGAAACGGCCTATCTGGGAGACGGCGAAATGCTGTCAGTTGATTTCTCAGCCCTTTTTATATCCCCGTGGTCAGAATTCTGGTTAAGCTATATGGAGCAATTAACCAGTGGACTGAAAGTGTTTCCTTGTGCAGCCTTTTACAATAAGCTGTGGACAAAAAACTATCAGCATTTAAAGTTAGCTTAAAAGAACAGCAGCTTTCTTGATGTTGTTGAGGTGAATCTCCTACAGTTTAATAATAGACCTTAGAACGTGCATGTTTTTCATTGCAGGGAAAATTGTATTAGTCTGGTACACTTAGTTCTGGGCACAAGGACCAGCATCTTTTTTTTTTCCATCAGTGTGGAGCTACAAACAATATCACTTAGGAGTGGCATCAAATATTGAACTACTCAGAGAGAATGGGTGGGAGAAGGGAAGAGTGGCTCTAACTCTACTGTCTGAACCCTCAGCAGACTGCTGAAACAAGTTTCCCAAAACAGTACTCAGAATTCAGGCTGCGTGCTTCAGTAAAATGTATCACTCTGAGATCTGATCTGTGGTACTGAGTCTGTGCTTTTCCATAGCTGCAGTTGACCTCATTAATATTTGTTAGGTTTTTTTCCTGAGGTAGACGGGAAGTTTTGCATAGGCTGAGCAAATAACAGACCAACTCACTAAATTTGGGTCAACTAAAAAACAATCATTTCAGCACATAGCCTGTTTTTTCAGTAACCTAGCTAGACCAAAGGGGTTGTTTTCTTTAAAGTTTTAGATGTTTATAGAAGAAAATTACCAAAGAGCAACAAATTAGGTCCACATGTGTGTTTGTACCAAACTACAGAAAACACCCCTTAAATTACATGAGGGTCTAAATTTTCAGTGCAGTTATTATTAAAACAGCCATTTAGCATTTAGCATGAGGGTTAATCCATTCTTCCAGCAAGCATTTCCAGTTTTCCCCACATAGCTGCCTTGCCTGCCAGCAGTACCGTCTGTGCCGTGACCCAGACCATCGATTACATGGTTCAATAATGCACTCACTGTCACTGACCTACCACCCCTTGGGCAACGGAAATATATTTTCCACGTATGCAGATACAGTCTATTGACGTTTTGGGTTAGATCTTTTTTTGTATCAACTTAACAATGTTCATAAAACATACATAGCAAAAGAAAATAAGCTGAAATATAAGATGACATGTTAACATATTTACTGTAGAATATAATCAGAAGAGATATTGTTTCATATCCTGCAGGAATGTGAAACTCATTTTACATTGTGGGCCACATACAGCCCACTTAGACCTTACGCCGGCTAGACAAGTGAAACCACCTTTCTGTCAGTGTAAAGAAGTTTAACTACACATTGAATCCCTGAGATAGCGTCATGTAAAAAAGTGCAATTTCAACAGCACATCTCACTTTTTCTACATAACAGAGAAATGATGCTGGAGTAAATGGATGAAATTTTTTTATAAAATTACACAATAAAATTCTCTTAGCTAAGTTTTTGTTAATTTTTTTTTTTTTTTTTTTTTACTGTGGACCCACTGTAAAAATGATATATTTCTATAGTGAAAAAAGTTTCCTGTCATTTGAATGTTTAGCTATTACTCAGGTACTTTGGTATTGTATGAAAAGCTATGGGAGGAAAATCTGTGTTCTTCTTCATATTTTCCAGTAGGCCAGTTTGGAGTCTTTGACGGACCGATTATGGCCGCCAAGCCTTATGTTTGACACCCCTGATAGATAGTTTGACTTGATTTCTTGCTGGTGCCGTAGGAGCCATAGACATAAAGTTAATGTAATTTAGCTTAGCATAAAAACTGTAACCAAGTAGTTACCGGCCTCTGTTCAAACGTAATCAAATACTACGCATATGTCACACCCCCTCCCATGCCCTCTGATCCACCCCGCACTGGGTGGGTGAAAGAATCAATGCTAAAAGCCTTTTTGCTTTTGCACAGGCTGTGAATTTCCCTGACACTCCAACCCCCAGCAGACAGAGCGGACTTGCATACACACTCTCACGCATGGCTCACCAGAGGTTTAGAGGTCACACCACAAGGACAAGAGGTCCCTTGGTAAACAACAACAACAAGCCTCGCTCTCTCTATGGAGTTACAGCGGGTGGACCGTGCAGGCAGTGATTGTGTCTGGGGATAATTGCCCTCAGGGCAGCTTTGTAGAGACTGGACGTAGAGTGGTAGTGCACTTCAAACCAAAAATAATATAACGATATGGGATTGAGACGCTTGTCAAGTAGCGCCGCATATGAGCAAGACATTTTGCAATGAAATGTGATTTCATCTCATTAGATTGTGTTTTCATGGCTGCCAAGTCTCACATTTGGCATGAGATTTTCACCATAATCCTCTCACACGCTAGCAGAGTGGTCGCCCACTGTCGGATATTAGTGTGAACGATGTAGGCATGTGGGTGGGAACATATAAAGTGCTTATTGTACTGATGCCTACTGCATGGTAAAAACTACAAATCAAAGTTAGGGTTAACCAAAAGGTTTATATTAACTTATTTAGGTACTAGCCTCTGTTAACAGGCAGACCTGGTCAAAAATATCAACTTAGTACCGTAGGCTGAATCAGATAAAGAGGTCAGATAAAGGTCAGACAGAAACACAGCAGCACAATAAGTGAGCCATAAAAGTGATTTAAAACATTTAAATTATTTGTAAATGACATGTGGTTTAATGGTAGTGTTTCAAATGAAGTTTTTCGTCTTGTTCCAAGCCCATTGTTTGCACTGTATAAAAAATAGTGTTCGAAACAGCTTCTTGGTTCTTCGTCAACGAGATTAGCCACCGTAATGATTCAGTCTAACGGCTGTTTGAAACAGGAGAGTGGATTTTACATCAGCAAAAAGAAAGATTTCCAAGAATAGCTTGAATGAAAAGGTACATGTTATTCTACTTTGTTGCCAGTGAGGTCCTTCCAATGATTACGTTTGGTTAAACTTGCTATAGTTAGTAGAACATGTTCTCTAACTATAGCAAGCGTGAGCAAGTTAGTTGCTCACGCTTGCTGACTTCTTTTCGAGGTAGTTTTTTGTGATGGTTCAGGATTCAGGCTGTTTCATGTGCTTCCCAGTCTTTATGTAATCCCAGACTGGCTCTACGATGTGAACATAAGACCTTGTGGTGGCCATGTGCTGCAGGACTTTTTATTTTTGTTGGTGCTGAGAATAGTTTTTTGCAACTATATGTTTGCGGTTAATATCAGTATAGTACGTAGAATGAATTTGGAAGCAGACCAATTTGTTTTGCATGGTGGATAAAAATGTAAAGATCTAGAATATTTCCTCTTATGAGCAATCAAAAGCAAATACTGTGAATGGCTATATTTAGCATTTTACCCCCTGACATATAGGTTAAAACACCAGTTGAAATACATGGGTAGAAGAAACAAGGAAGGGGAATTTAAAAGTCTGGTTGTGAGATTTCATGAAGATGTAAAAGTATATAGGAAGATCGGTGCATTGCTAAAAATAAGTAGAGGCGCAGCAGCAGTAATCAAGGGATATAGAGGGAGCCTTAGTACCACTAATCAGAGTCTCAATGGCTTTCTTTCTAAAAAAAAAAAACACTCCAAGGACAGTACAGCATTTGAACAGTCTAGCTCTGAAGATCAAGGCAATTGCTTCATATTTGGCAAAGGAATTCTGAGTTTGCTGGAAATCAGAGTTTCTGTGAAAGCTTACGCAATCAGAAGGCAACTGCTGATTAACAATACTTACTTTTTGGCAGAAAACTATGAGATCGAACTTTGATAAATATCCTTAAAAGAAGAAGCCTGTTGAATATCGGCAAGACATGCTCCGGTAAGATGAAAGCAAGATAAACGAGTTCAGCTTAGATGGACTACTTAAGGACCACTAACGGTGAATGCATGCTCCCAGTAGTGAAGCATGGAGGTGAGCCTGTGATGATACTTGGCTGCATGAGTGCAAAAAGTGATAAGGAATGACATTTATCAATGCCACCACGAATGTCTGTGGATATGCCAGGATACCTCATAGGATGACTCTCATATTCTTGAAGCCAGGCAGAAGAGGAACGCAATCCAAAGCATGCTGCCAAAATCAAAAGTTTCTAAAGAAGAACGGAGACTAAGGACAAGTTGGTCTTGCTTGGTGTTAATTGGTTGGTGTTGCTTTTTCTGAATTTGCATGTGGCGCAGAAAGACAAACCCCCATGCAGAAAGAGCTTCTGGAAAATAGTGGCTCATGAATTAAAAAGATATGAATCTTAAAGTCAGTCGGGATAAGCTTCAGTGGCCCTGTGTCCCTGAATTGGACAAGCAGTTAAGAAAGTGGCTAAATGGATGGATGGATTCCTGACTTCTGGACCTGTATTGTTAATTCTGGTCAGAAGGGAATATAACTACTGTCTGTAGTTAAGTTAGTTTATCTAGTTAATGTAACATAAACTTACTATTCTATTTAAAGCGAATCATCGCTTCATTGGCCGTTTATTGTTGAAACAGCGTGGGAGGCAGAAGTCTGCGGTCCGGTGTCCTCTGCTCAGCTGCTTCACGTTCAGCTGTTGCTGCAGGTTTGAATTCCCAGCTAATTCATCATGCCGATGTGCTGACTGTCTATTTACTGTAGCATGGAAGAACTGCAGCAGTAAGGGAATCAAATTAATTGTTCGGGTTTCATTGTGGGAATAAAATGCCGAATCATCAAGCCCCTGAATAAGCTTGTGCGCAGAGGAGAGGAGGACTCATCATTTTGTTGCATGTTGACCCAGTATATTCTCTTCCGACTGTCCTCTTCTGTTTGTTTTCAATATATCTTTTTATGAACCTCTGATCATTTTTTTTAATGGTGGTATACTGATTGCCCCTTCCCCCTCCCTTTACCGTTGGCAGGCTCTTTATCAGACTGAGTTACTCAAAGACTCTTGATGTTTTGTATTTGCAGTTGAGTCCTTGCTTTGTCTTTGCACTTATGCAGTGATGACTTGGGGAGATTTTGTCTCTCTGTATGTGACTTCTTGTGCTTCTTGTGTGACTCTGTACAGAATGTGATGTGAGTAGAACCAGCAGATCTGTCTTGTTCTGTCATGTTCACTCTTTTCCTTTTCTCTGTGTGTTTGTTGCCTTACCCTTGTCTTTTGCTGTGATGTTGTAGAGCTTGGGACTTATGGGAAACTAAAATATTATCACTCAATGACTGAGGAAGGTAAGCCTGAAAGTTTTCATTACTTGATTCTTTGAGACAGCTTCTGTCATCCCTCTTGTTTTTATATTCCTCCATCTTCATCACGAAGCAACACATCCAGACCCATTTTTTTTTTGCCTGTGATACACAGTTTGCATAATTTTGCTTTAAGTTGATAATCTCGCTGAGATTTCACTGGCATAAGTGCAAATCATAGTAGCCATGCCATTTTTTTTATTGTACTTTTTGTTCCCTTTTTGGTTTTTGGCATATTTTTATATTTTTTTCCCTACGAATATGTACATACATATTGTGTGTTACTGTGTGTAGTGTTATTATGACATTTTATTTATTAGGTATTTTCTGAAAATTTCTAAATTTGCTTCTTTTGTTTGACGTTGTGTAAATTAAGACGTGCATAATGCAGGCTGGTTTAACTACAAACGCACACTTACACGGCCAATATTGCATTCAGAAAACACACAAGGTCTTTTTAACGTTTTCTCGTCTTTGCTCGTTTTTCCCTGTTACCCATCTGCGTCTCTGAGCAATGCAGCACATCATCCATTCCCCAGCACTTACTTCGAGGTTACACTTACACCAGAAGCAATGTTTCTGAATTTGGGAAACTGGAGTGACTAATCCACCCAGTGGTTGTGTAACAGGCAGAAATGACGACGTTTTTTAACCCACACTTCACAAACTGGTCTTTTTTTTTTCAAGCAGTGTTAAATATTTTTTAAGTTAAAGAATTGTGTGGGGTTTTTTTTAATTCCTTTAAAATAGCAATACATACATTTCCTATACATAGCAATCACATATTTATAATTTGGGTGGAGTGTTATTTTTTGATATTTGTGCTTTTATGCTAAAACAAAGTGACAGAAAAACACATTTTTAAAATTTGCATTAAAAAAATCAACTCAAAAAATTGTCATAAACTGCATTTGGTAGCTTTACTTTTAAAAGCAATTTATTCGTTTTGAATATCACTGTCATTAAAGGGTAATGTGTTGCGTTACAATGTTAGCTGCTGAGGAAATTAATGTTTTACAGTTATTTTATCTTACCAGATTTAACTTTATAGTAATCTCAAGTAAGCTGGTTTTGTTGTCCAGTTTAACCTCTGAGTATACTAACTTTACCTCATGGTGAATTCATGGTGACAACAAGCTTGTTAATTTTCCTGATCACAGTTTTCCCCCGAACTAAAATCTTTCCGCTTCAGAGCTGTAGCACTTGCATATTCCTCCTCCTCAACATCGCCTCGCCACCTTTGTAACTAGTTGAGCTTAGACCTCAATCACTCAGGCCTAGAGACCTTTCAACAACCTTGTGGCATCCACTAGTTGCAAGGGAAAATTATGTATTTCCTGTGAAATTGATTCACAAAACCACATTGGAGCAGGTCTAGAGATCTTAATTGAAAATCTGTAAACCACCAGTCACTAGAAAAAAGTGTGTATTCCACAACCAGCTGGTGTGAAACTGATTGCAAAGAGATTTGCTATGCTACACCAAAAACGTCTTTGTGATTGCTTTGGTTGCTAGTAAGTTTCCAGGGTGAGAAGAGGTTTCCATGGAAGACGCCAAACTGCCTGCAGATACTTGCAAACTACTTGCTAAGCTGTAGCGAAACGGAAAAATGTGATGCAAAGTCGCCTTTTGAAATTGTTTGTGGTTGACGTTTTAAGGCAAAGCTTTTACTTTGAAGGTGAATGTTTTTCATTTTCGGTTTATTTGCAGCTTTGAGAGTAAATGTCAAGTTTTTGCAGACAAGTCGACGTCTTCCACACAAACTGTGAGCGACTGCGCCAGTCTGATTCTGACCAAGCCAATCATGAGAAGGTTTTTTTTAGTTTTCAGCTCCCTGTTTTTGAGCAGCGACAGCCACCAACCTCCAACAACCGCTTTCCTGCAACTTGGGGAATACACATTTTCTGAAGTGACCAGAGGTTGCCTTTGGGTCGCCGACTGGTCTCTACGCCTGTGTGACTGAGGCCTGGAGATGCTTTTTCAATATCTAAAAATTCTAACCCTGACACTAATTAAAACACATCTTCCCACAAGATAAATCCTGCCACCTTTGCCATATCACTAACTGAGCTTAACATGCACACTGGCACAGCCTGAGGATTGAAAGCCTTCTACTAGTACATGCAACATACTTCAAGGAGTGGAAAGGCAAAAGAAATGGTGTGATGTCATCAGACAACAAAAGACACGACGGTATACGGTAACTGATTGCTCATTCGAATAATTAACCAATTATCTGATCCACTTAATTGCTTTAATTTGCACATTCGTTAAAACAAACAAACAAAAAAATAAATAAAGAATCAGAACACCTAAACAAGTTTCTTTATAATTTGTTACAATACCAGTGATGAGAGAAATACATAGCTAGATTCCTGCTAAAGCTAACTTGCTGAGGTGATCTCAGATTCTGTGGATTATTTATTATGGATTATATTTATCTAAAATGATAAACTTCCTTTTTCTTGCAGCTTCTGTAGTAACGGCTCTTTGCTTTCACAGGTCTTTATCAAAGTATGTTCAAAGTTAGATCTGAAACATGACGCCAGTGTTTGTTTGTTTTTTAGCATTTCTTTTGCATACCTACAGCAGAAAGCCCAACACTGTCAGTTTTATGCCCAAGTAACCAGATGATGATCTCAGACTCTCCTATCCATAAATAAACACCCACTTATCCATGAATAAACACGCACAAACACACACTCGCTAAGACAACTAACTGACAATGACCACCTAAGGTGAGTGTTGTCAAGACAGTGGAATGTGTGATTCTGTCTTGTGAAAGTCGGCAGTGTATGTGTGTGTATTTGTGCGCATGTGTGTGGAGGGAAAAAAAGGGCAGGGAGGGGCTGAGCGTTGCCAAACAACAAAAAGACAAAGTGAGAGAAAGATGGTGTTTGCCAAAGACGAATGAGTGAGAAAATCCGAGGTGATAGAGAAATGTAGAGTGAGACAGAGGAGGCATGAAGGCGGCCGACGGTGACTTGGGGTGGTTAATGATTTTGCCAGAAGGTCACAGACAGCGTTCACATGGCTGGGCGGAGTATTCGTATTGACGCATCACTGTGTCAAGCACTGACGAATCAGCCATGCATTTGTAAAATCAAACAAAAAAAATCTTTTGCATTGATTGCAGCCGGGTGATTTGGATGAGGCAGGAGAAAAGGCAAGGATTGACACGCACAGTTAAATTAAGCACGGATGCACGACAGCACAACGATTAATGATGCGCAGGAGGGCTCGCACAGAAAGTACGTGCTGCATAGGATAAAATCTCTTATATTACAGGCTGGTTTAAAAGAATACTGAGAGCAGCCACTACTGCTGACCTGGAATCTGCACAACTTGGTGCTGGAATCGTATTTCTCCTTGTTTCTAGGCTATATTTGTGGTCTTTTGGGGGGATTTCAGGAATTATATCAAAACTCTATTGCTCCTCAGTTATTGCTAGTGATTAAAATCGCCTTGGATGAGCCATTATTTACAATATCAAGAATGCACACAAATTATATGAGCCCCAAGGTCAAGGTTTCAATCCAGTCCACTGCATCACACCATTACAAAATGGTTTCACGGAATCAATTAATGTTATCTACAAACTAATACGTACTAGCAGTTTTAGAAACATCTGTTCAAATTCTCTACATTTATAGTTATGATAATTTTTTTGTCTTGGAGTAAGAGCTGTGATAATGATCAAATTAGTTGCTTCCTGGATTAAAAATTTGAACACAGCCTCTCGAATCTTTAAATTTGTGATTTGTGACATGCCGTCCCGAACTTTTGTTTGCTTTTAAGTTCCCTGCTAGCCTCTGGCATCTCTTGTGACATTTTGATCTGAAATGAGAACCGAACAAGACCAGGACTTAATCTGAGCTCCAGAAGGCAGATCTTTTCACAAGAGATTCTCTCTGCTTCGCCTCCGCCAAGGACCAGGACATTGCAGGATCATCAGTATATGATATGCTATGTCATATTGACTATGTGTTCTTGCAACTGCAGTTTTGTGTAAAGCCGCCACCCTGTTTGTTCCGTGCTTTTGAAACGCGACCCATCTGGGGTCGAAGGTGACAACGAAGGAGCGCTGACTGGGACAAAGCCGAAAGGCTTTGTGGATGCTACGGTACGCGGCGCTTTGGTCCGAATTTGACCAGTGTTGTGTTTTCTCTTTTCGTTTCCTCTTTGCAGGTAAATTTCGAGAGAAGGCGTCTATTCTGCACAAGATTGCTAAAAAGAAATGCCAAGTGGAGGATAGTGAAAAGGCCAATGGAGTAGCGAGTCGTTCAGGTAAATAAAACTTTAATATCCTTTAGATCTTATTGCAGTAGTATGAAATTATAGGAAATACCTTTGTTTATTTTCTGGCTCAAAATTGTCCCTACAATAAAAAAAGTGTCAGTCTTTATGTTACACATACACACCTACACTGACTGAGTGGTGTCGGTCTGATATTTCCCAAATTGTCTCCTTTCCAAGGAAGACCTTGGAAAGGAAAGGTCTTCCAAAGGATCCCATGAATCAGGATCTTAACTCAAGCGATGAACTAGTATTGTGTCTACACATAAGACAAAGAAACAATTTTACATCTTTAGATACTTTGTTACTAACAACCTGTCACAAAAACACATGATTTATTCACTTTTTCTCTAACAGAATCTACTAAAATGCCAAAGATAACACAGTTTTACAGCAATAAAATTGTATTTTTGCACCATCAAGGTGAATTGCAAAGAGCTGTTAGCTTAAACTTGATATATCTGAACATGGTGGAAAGCGTGTCCTTTAAAAGAATTTGAGAAACCTGGGCAGATGGAGGACAAATGAAGTGAAAGGCCTACAAATACCATCAGCCGCAGATCAACAGTATTTGAAAGTCATGTCTTAAAGAAATGGGAAAAATCAATTGACCTGTCTACTGTTCACTGAAGCTTATCAGAAATGGCGTAAGTGGAAGGGTGGCTGTCAAAACGCCATACTTAAGGAAGGGAAATGATGAGAAAAGGCTGAAATAAGCAAAACTACTCAAGAACTGGACTCAACATCTGTGGCAACAGGTCAGGATTTCAAGAGAAAGCTACGACAGGGAGTGTAACGGCTATCTGTAAAACACGGTGGAGGCTCTGTCATGGTTTGGAGTTCCATTTCAGTCAGTGGTGTTGGGGATCTTGTCAAAATTTATGGAATTTTGAACAAAAAAGAATATTAATCCACCATGAAATTCCATGTGGAAAGATTATTCAGAATGACTTTGATCCCAAACATGCTCTCAATGCAGTAAAGGCATGCCTTCATGGAAAAACATAGCGATGAATAGGTCTGCACTGTCCATTCTGACCGCTGACCAGCTTTGGCCTCTCACAACCTTCAAGGAGAAGCGGGTATCGCTAGAATAACCAAGCTCATGTGCGTTAGTTATTAGATTCCCTACTGAAACGATCATCTGTTGTTAAACAAACACGACATGATCAAGAGCAGCCAAATTGATTACAAGTGTTGTCTTCAAGCAGTATTTAATCAATCACAGTCACTGCCAAGAGTAATTTATGTGTTTTTCACTTCAAAGAGCGCTGGACCAAAGAACAAACAGGAGGCCAGAGGAAACACTTTCATGGCCACAATGGAGGCAAAGCAGGAGAATCAAAGCGAGACATAGCTGCTGATCAACAAGGCAAAATTATGCTAACCGCACCACATTAACATATTACCCTCTTGATCAAAGTGCTCGACTGGTGGTCACCACAGCTAACTTCACTTTTTAGGTTGTTGCAAAAGAATATTTACTGTGATTCAGTCCAGGTATCACATTTTTAGTTGTAATATTGCCACATCTGAGCGAGCAAGGTAGGGAGGGAGGTCATGTGGTGGACCAAAGTGATATCGAGGCACATTATCTGTCTGAGAATCTGCTAATTGTATCACAACCATACTTGGATTAAAGCAATTTCCACAGCAATTATAGTTTAATCATCTGATTACATGGCTTTCGGCTCTTTGTATTTTAATAAGGGTAAGTTAAGTAAGTCGGGCCTCAATTGAAATGGATTTAAAGCAGCCACTAGCATTTCATAAGGTGAGATAGTATTAGCCTCAGACATGCACATGTATGTTCACACACGTGGGGGTGCCTTGATATATTTTTTGCCATTATTTCTGTTGTTACAACATTTTTTAAAATAAATATAAGACATTTATGTCTAACTTTCCAGCAGTTCCATAAATGTGTTTTTCTTCTGACTACAAAACAGAAATCTGAAAGAAGCAAATAAGGGTTGAAACAGATGTTGGTACTGAAATGCTAAGTCGGTTACTTGATTGAAATAAAGGTTAGTTATTTGGCAAAAAGACGACCTGGAATAAAAAGGTGTTATCAAAAGTTCAACAACTTTTTGGCCATAAAAAGCAGAAACGACTGCTGTCCCCTTCATGGTCATCTTCTTGTGCAGCTCTGCACTAGTACATGGAAACTTCACTGGAGGATGCATTCACACCACTTGCACATGAGCATTTGCAATTTCACTGCTTGCGTGAAGAGCAAATATCAACTGTAGTGTTACAGCGGTCTAAATTTCAATATGAGAAACTGTGGCTATGAAGACCAAGTCTGAAGCTAAGACTGAGAGACCTGATAACTCTTCCATTGAAAATGTTGCAATGTTCATGTCAAGTGGTGAGATCAGGTCATGAAGTTTAGATAATACAGAAGCATATGTGCACGTTGGGAATGGTGCTTCTAGAGAGCAATCTAAACAGAGCAGGAACATTAGGTGTGTCTTTGAGGGAGTTTCAGTCCAATTTAAATCTGGAAAAACAGGTTTTTGTTTTTTTTACAGGTGCAGTCGTAGAACATTTTGATCACACCTCATAATTTACTTAACTAAACAACAGTTTTCTGTTTTATCAGGCCTTCTGCTGACATTTTCTGTTGTTCTTTATGCGTTTCATTTATTTTTGTTCTATTTTAACAGGGTTCTCTATGATATTATAATTGTGTTGTAGTTGTTTTACAGCACTTTGTGACTTTTATGTCTAAGAAAAAGGGCTATATAAACAACTTTACTTACTTTATTTACCACAATGTGAGGATTCCCTAATAATTAAAAAAGGAGCTGAATCATTTTACCTGGATAGAATGCAGAAATGATTTGTCCACTTTTATTCAGAGCATAAAAACTAACACTTTGTCTTTCAGAGTTGTCAAAAACAAATTCATTATTATTATTATATTAATTCATTATTTTTCCTGCAGATAAGAACCTTCCTAACAGCTCCAGTGTGGAAGTGGAGGTGACCCCACCTATGAATGGAACAGCAGGGCAAGAGGGGGAGACGGTAAGAAATGAAAGGGCACTCACAAATCGCAGTGTGTGGAAAATCTATTTATACCAATTCGTCACCTGTCCACCTAACTGGGTGAGAAGGCACCGAAACTGTGAGACAAACATCAAAGTAAGAGAGGCATTTATGAATATTTTATGCCTCTCATCTGTGTCGGTGTTCCACCTTGAGTGTGATTGATGCAAAGGTTGCACCAACTATGGCACAGGTCACTACTGCTGATAATTTCCCAGCATGCACTCAGGCGAGTTCCTCCATCTTCAGCCAGACCTGCCAAAGACCCGCCTCCTCCCTCTGAGTTCTGTAATCACACTCCTCACTCACCTGCTGCTCCCCGCCGCTGGATACTCGAAACAAACACACTCGCACACGTACGTCAACACAAACACACACCCGGTCTTTGACGTGTGGCCAGGCTCAGCGAGCCTCATAACGGCACCTGAACCAGAATCGCTGGCATTAACGACAACGGCGGGATGCAGCAACCCGCCAAGCCAGCAGACGGTCCTGGGGCAACCGGGCAGCCAATCAAAATATGTACACTGAGAGGAGAACAGACAGAGGAGGCGAGGGTGTCGGTCATCCTGCTGGATTTTCAACTTTTAAATTGCTATCAACAAGAGTAATCCCAAAAGCCTGTTAATGTTCCAACTAATGTTCAGCCAGTTTCAGCTGGGTGAACAATAGTGGAAAAAAGTAAAAGGAAAACATAACAGGCACTGTGTGCTAATATATTTAACCCTAAGCTTGATGGTCACACAGCTTGTAAGTCTCTTTGGGCAGACGACTTACTACAAGGAGACATTCAACTGATGTTGCTTGTGGTCTTTAATTACTGTAATGTGTTTCCTCCAAGTGGAGGACATGCATTAGCCAAAGTGCTTTGGTTGTAATAATCAGTGTTTTGGCTAATCACTCTTCATAAATATATATACAATTGGGGAAAAAAGGGGAAAAATGGGAACGATTTTGTTGATATTCTCACAAACGTCACATGAACAAATCCAGCTCCAGTTATCCTTTATTATCCTTTACAATTAATTCATGATATGGAGAGAGTTTTTATTCTGTTAACAATTATGCAGGCTCAGACTGCTCTTTCTTTCAGAAGCATTTTTTCTTGCCTCAAGCTTCCAGTCCTTTATCCAGTTTATCTCATATCTCATATCATTGTAAAAGTCTTTCATATTGAAGAAAATTGCATGTATAAGGATAACGAAATTACAGTTTTACTAACATCGTGCTGTGTGTAAAATTTAAAGACAAGGTAGATAAATATGAAACAAAAAACACTGACACGTGAAAAGTTTAAAATCTAAGAAGTAACATGTTTTTTTCCTTTTTAAATTCTGGACTTACGTTATTAAAAATACAACAGAAGTGTTGGTGCATCAGCAGTAGTATTGTATTTGAGAGAGTGTATAGTTTAATTTAGGTTATTTAGTATGAATTGTACATAAAGTTCATTATATAAATATATGTATATATCTGATATATTGTATAAAGTGTAATATGTGAAGCAGCTTTGCATACAGTGGTGTACACAATACTATGAAGTCCTACTTGATTAAAAGCACAAATAATACTGTACAAAGCTAATACTGGAAAATGTAAATAAAACATAATGTAATAATTTACCAATCTCAGAGATCAACATTTTATTCACAATAGGAAATATAAAACATATCAAATGTTTAACACATTTTACAGTTTAATGAAAAATATCCCATTTTGAATTTGATGGAGCAAAAAACTGGAAAAGTGAGCGTTACCACAACTGAAGAAACATTTTTAAATTGATTAGTTTAAATACTAATACTAAATAAAAGCAAAACTAATACATGAAACTATTTAGTTTAAATGGCAACGGCTCAGTAGCACGATTGTGTATAAAAAGAGCATCTTACAGAGCATCTCATGGGTTTGGATTCTCAGGAAACACTTCATTAAAAACAGGCATGATTCTGTTATAGAAATCAGTGCATGGTCTCAGGAACACGTGTCCAGCAGCTGGTCTTCTTAGTTTCTAGACATTTATGAACTGCTGTCAAAAAAAATAATATTTAATATAAATTCTATGTTCTGATTTTCTACATTATAATAACTTTTCTATATTTGATATCTTGTCTATGTGTTTATGAGATTTGCAGCTCATTACATTCTGTGTTTATTTAGTTATTTGACTCAAGATCCTGACATTTTCTCTCCTAAACACAGACATCATAACATCATAACCTGATATGATGCTAAAAAAAAATGATATTCTTGTGATTAATGTGTGGCAGGAAGCAGAACAGCAGGTAGATGGAGTTTAAAAACACCTTTTTTTCAGGTGATAACACAAACTTTGAAAGACCTGGATGCTTATTGGCATTCTTGATTCCTACATGCTGTTATTTTTAGATCCTGCACAGTGCACCTGCTTGTGCCTGTGTCAGCCAGGAAGTAGCTGGAAACAGCTCACACCTTCATATTGCCGTCAGTGGCCCCATCACGCTAATTGTTCAATTCCTCCTGGATGTCTTGGCAACCAAGACTGGGGAATAAGGAGATAGTTAAGGTCAAATTAAAATTTGCAGCAGAGTTTTGCACGACTTACTGTCTAAACCCTTGAGAAGCAAGCCAAGAAAAGTAGTCATGTGCTGTAATTTTTCCTCTGAGCAGCAGATTTTTCATTTTAAAATCTGCATCTGGTTCTAATTTTGATGATGACATTAAAACTATGTCTCACTCAATTGTCTATCTGCAACAACATATTCTAGATTTTTCTGCTTTCAGTAGCATACATTTTGAATATTTATAAAGCTCCTGTAATCAATTCTTTAAATAACATTCGGGAAAACTAAAGAAAATCATAACCACGGGATCTCATGACTCATCCTACGTCTTCTATCACAACTAAAGCGATGTGAAAAAAAACATTGTGCTCAGGGGTTCCTGGGTGGAAGTATCATTCAGTTTGAAGATTTGCTTGCTTTTTCTTTTCCTAAATAGGATGAGAATTTTATATCCAGATGGAGCCTGTGTGTGTGTGTGTGTGGGGGACAAAAAAATATTCATGCCATTGCAGCTGTTAGGGCATCTATGAAGATGAATGTTTCATGTGAAGAATGAGACACTGCTGTCAGACAGGCAAATAGTGAATGGAAATGTGTGAAGTTTCAAATCACAGTGTGTGTTTGAGGCTTTCTTTGTGAATTACACATAGCATCTTAGTTTTAAACAGATGGCTGCATTTTGTCAATTCCTGGATACTAAAAGTTGAATCAAGAAAATAATGCAAGAGGAACACTCTGAACCAAAAACCCAAACCAAAACAACAAATTTAGACGTTTCACCACAGATCAGCTGATTTCAACATCTACCCACACCCACGGCGAAGCTGATATCCACGTAAACACCCCAATAACCTATATGGTGTGCAGTTTAGGCTGCTTTAGCCTGCCTGCAGTTGCAGTTGCAAGCTGCTTTGCAACCCGTCTTCACCCCAGCTACTCTTTTTAATACTGTGTGTGATTTGATGGATGTCGTATCTGTTGGCAACAATCCCTGCTCTGGCTTTCTGTGCATGCACAAAGCCTAGAGAGGTGTGCTCCCAGAATTCACTGCTGATGAAAATAACAATAATCTGTCGACTCTGTGGCTGAGATATTATTTTACTTGAAGACCAAATTCCTCTGGTTTTTTTCCCATTATTGTACTTGCATTATTTATTAACTGGAGACACCTCATGGAAGCGAACCTGTCAGATCAGCAGTGTTTTCCTTCTTCTGGTTAAACTTATGCAAACGCACAATTTGTATTTCCAGCCTTGCTGCAGCTGTTCTGCACTTTTTTTGACCATTTCAACTATTGTAGCTTTGTTGCCTCACACCGGGTACCAGAGCAAATGCTTCCCTCCAGGAAGAAAGAAAGAAAAAAAAGCAAATGTCATGCCTCCCCTCGCAGCTCTGTGGTGTCTGATAAAAGTCAGTGCCTTTAAGCACAGAGTTGGCAGTGTTACCAACTGAGCCACCACAGGGCAGGAAAGGCCCCCAAGGGGCTGGCATTTAGGAACCAAGTTAGACCAGGGAGCACCAGCTCAATGGGGTACTTAAGCATAGAAAGCAACTAAAGCAAATCATAAATAGTCAAATGCTGGATTCATGGTGAGCAGTGTCATCCAGAAACAGTAGTCTGCATGCAGTCAACATGCCCATGAAAGAGCTGCAGAGCAAAACCGTGTGGAGTGGACTGTCAATATTGTGATTGAACATAAGAAGAAGCTTTTGCTGCGTTTTTGGATTCTGCAGTGAGCCAAAAAAACAATCTTTGCATCTTTTAAAAGCAGTGGATTTGGTCCAGAACTGATCTTTGCAAAGCTTCGGGTGTTTTTGTTTTTGTTTTGCTTTTTAGAGCTTTTAAAAGACAACAATGCAGCCATCTGGATATGGAGAGGAGGAGAAATCAGAATGCTGAACATAAGTGATGCAAGCCCTTTTGTTTGGCAGCTCTGATTACCAAGGTTACCAGGCAATACTCAACAGCAGTCGCTGTCACAGCAGGATAAGCTCCATATGATTCATGATTCGTGCAGCAACCATCTTTAAAGATTTCTGCTTCACCGTGGCCTTGTTTAGCTGATCTGATTAAATTTGTTAAGGCCTGAAATGATTTCCTTGAGAAAATTACTACCCAGCGTATCACATCTGTTATCAGCATCTGTTTTACTTTATGTTTTTCTGCCCAGTGTATCTTCTGCACCCCTTCACTTCATGTTTTCATACCTATTTATTCTCAAAAGGGCAGGGGATAAATTTTAGATCACTCACATGTTCTAGTCTGGCCTGCGTGCATGGACTTGTTCTCTCCAAGTCCCCTTGGCTCCTTATCATCTTCTATAATTAGTTGCTAAGGGACCTCGGGATCTTTCCAAATAGAAAAAGCTTAGTTGTTGTACTATTTAACTATTACCTGGATGTTTAAGTGACAGCCTGTAAGAAGGTAGATAAAATGATGATTTAGTCATCTTTCCTGGAATCTGATTTCATGCAAATCGCAGGGTGCCGTCAACTTTTGTCTCACTTGGCATTCCAGCAGCACGTCCAGTCACACCCTAAGGATCTGCTGATGCAGCCAACATCACCAGTCAGCAGTGATGAGCCCCCGATGACTGCTGACACTCAGCCCTTCAGGCTCAGTGGAGTCTCAGAAATCACAGCCACCTCTCTCTTAAAGTAGACCTGTTATGTGTTTGTTTATGTAATACTCTTACAATGGCCAAAGTTTCAAATAATGAGGCCAAGTGCCCACTCTTCACACTGTTTTCTACTTTATATTTTGAATCAAATCTCTGAGTGTTGCTCTGTATCAAACGAAGCAGGTTTATGAGGGGCAGCCAATCAGAAGAAAAAGAAAGTGGGCTTTCCGGGAGATCACACTGCTTGTTTCAGACAGAGGATGATCCGATGTGGTTGCAACATGGTCCAGTATAAGACATATTATTTTCAGCTATGAATCATGCAAAACTACCCTGGTAAATTCCTCAAAATGAAAAGAGAGACATGGAAATGAGCAGAATGGGTCCCCTTTAAAGTCATGGTAGCACACATCCAGTTCCTGCAATTAATCTCTGCTGACTTCTGAATCTCTTCATAACAGTGGTGTTGTCAAACTGATCCCTGCCTCTGTGGGTAGTGAGTATATGAAGCTAAAAGGGACACTTCCAATGTTTTTATTTTTTCAGTTATTCCCTCTTGTTCACCTGATATTGTTTTCAAAATGATAAATTTTGACCAGTATCTCCTTCCCTTTTTTCTGCTCTCAGGCTGAGGATGAAGAAGAAGAGGACCAGCCTCTGAGCCTGTCCTGGCCTGAATCTTGCCGCAAGCGCTTCACCTACCTCCTGATCATGCCTATTGTCCTTCCCCTGTGGCTAACGCTGCCTGACGTCAGGAAAACGGTATGCGACTAAATTCTCCTGAACAAGAATGCCGTGTGCGTGTGTCTATGTGTACGTGTGCTGCTCAATCCTTCTTTTTTTATTTTCCAGTCATCAAAGAAGTTCTTCCCCATTACATTCCTGGGTGCCATCTGCTGGATTGCAGGATTCTCTTACCTAATGGTGTGGTGGGCCCATCAGGTACACAAGACTCTGTAAAAAGAACTGATGTTATGTGATCATAACAGCAGCCCACAAAATATATTTTCCTTCATTTCTCGTTCTTGACATTTATAATAACCCTCCATTCCCATCCACGCACGCATAATTACAGCTGTCTTGTTTAAAACAAAGATTGTCAGAGATACTTTTATCACCTCCTTCAGCTTCTAAGCACAAGGAAATTAAAAATAGCTCGAACAAAGATTAGTTTTTATTTACCCTAAAGCTTAGCTTTCTTTTTTTTTTTCTTTTTTGCAGGTTGGAGAGACCATTGGGATTACAGAGGAGATTATGGGACTGACTATATTAGCAGCTGGAACCTCTATCCCTGACCTCATCACCAGTGTTATTGTGGCACGCAAGGGGCTGGGTGATATGGCTGTATCCAGCTCTGTAGGCTCCAACATCTTTGACATTACTGTTGGGTATGTTATCCAAGCATGATCTGGGTATGGATCCGTATGTGATGTTTAGGAGAAGCACAGAGAAAGCAGTACTTTTTGCTCTGACGATGACTCCTCTCAAAGCCTTGAATTACTGTAGCATCATAAGTAAACTATTACTGGCTCTATGGGCCGGAGTAAGGTGGCTTTCAGGCTGTAATGGCATTTTTGCAGCGCAATTTTGATTTCCAAAGTCTTTACACAAGATTAGATTTGGTTTCGTGGCTAAACCTGTATCATTTTGATGCATTCTCAATCATCCAGGAAAATAAATCTCCAAAAGTTGATTCTGTTCATCTGGACGTAGCGTTTTCTGGGAGAAACGTTTCGTCACTCATCCAAGTGACTAAAGACTGAAGAAGTCACTTGGATGAGTGACGAAACGTTTCTCCCAGAAAACACTACGGCCAGATGAACAGAATCAACTTTTGGAGATAAACCTGTATCATTTCTTCTAATAGCAACAAGATAGTAAAGCAAATGTACCGCGTTAGATGTGGCGACCACGTGCATATTTGTTAAGCAGCTTTGACTAAAAAAAGACTAAATTACAAACAGGCATATATCATTTAAAGGGTCAGTTTATCCAGGACATAGATGTGTATCTTCATGCTGTTATCGGCTCTCAGCAGCTCACGTGGTCAGCCTGTAACATATCGTGTGCTTGTGTACTTGCAGACTGCCGCTCCCCTGGCTCCTGTGGTCCCTATTCAAAGGCTTGAGACCGGTGCAAGTCAGCTCCAACGGCCTCTTCTGTGCAATCGTGCTCCTCTTCCTCATGCTCCTCTTCGTCATCATCTCCATCGCCGCCTGCAAGTGGCGCATGAGCAAGCTGCTCGGCTTCATCATGTTCATGTTGTACTTCGTCTTCCTGGTGGTCAGTGTCATGCTAGAGAACAAGGTCATTAGCTGCCCGGTGACTATTTAAGGACCTTTCAGGGACCTACATCCCCTCCGTCACCCTCACCACCATAACCATCCTATTTGTCTGCTGTCTGTCTCACCCGACCCTTTGCGATCCTTTACACCAGGAACAAAAGACAAAAAAGAAGAACTGTACAAGAGATGAATGAAAACTGTGGGATCTCCCTTTATTTTCAGTGAGCAGGTGGTGGTGGGGAGCGCTTAAACCATTAAGGGACAAGACTACGGCTTGGCTGGTTAAACATAGGCTTAAAAAGAGTGGATTTTAAATATGTTGTTATTTTCACTGGCAGGTGAGTAGGGTAGCGGGTTTGGGTGGGTGGGTTATGGGTTTATGCCAAATATAGAAGTATTATGCATGCCATTAGTTTTACTAGACGAGAAATGAAAGTTGAGAAGAATGACCTCCTGTGAAGTTCGGGGGAGAAACAAACAAACATGAGATGCACTGTTTAAAACTCTTAACAACAAATATGGCTGAGCTCAAATTTGTGATCACATTTGAAAGCACATACTGGTTGAACTGACTGAGACGTCGTGAGTGAATCGTGATGTGGACGAACTAATGAATGAGAGAAACGGGAGCAGCGTACGGATGAATGTGTTCTTCGAAACATGTTGTTTAATGGTCGATGGGGACGACTCTCTTTTGAGCTTCGCGCCTGAGCAGCAAGGAGCGCGGCGAAGGACAGATGAACTTCTATTTTCTTATTTCTTTCTTGCAAACTTGTCTGTGCTCAGAGTTGAAGCTTCTCCTCGCCCCCTGTCAGGATGTCATTTTTCACCACTGAATGAGTCCTTTTTTCTTTTAAATTATTTTTTTTAATTCATTTTCACTAAATATTAGACGTAGCATTAGATAAACTGTAGCATGACAATCTGCTCCTTTTTTTTTCTTCACCCATTGAGCAAACATTATGATTGTAAAGAAATTTCCATTTCACGTGCACCGATGGACAAAGGCAAGAACAAACAAAAGAAAAGCCTAAATGAAAGTTAGCTACATATGCTAGCCTTCAATATCTTGTACTGGTTAGGGGGGCGAAAACAAAAGCATGAATACTTAGGCTCATTAAAGATCCATAAACAAAGTCAATGTCAAGATAATACATTTGAAAATAACTTTACTGTGTTAAAGCGTCATGATTGATTTAGATTAGTCAGTGTGTAGTGCTTTGTTCACAGTAGAACTGGGCTCAAATCACCGGCTAGTTAAGCTCCTGGGGTAGAAGTTTCAAGGAGTCAACTGCATGTAGGGAAAAAAAGGAAACAAAAACAAAAAAAAGCCACCGGGAGGTGAATTATACCAATCAACATTTAAGAAGTTGTATACCGAAATGTATACTTTCCAGACATGCTTCATAACTTCTTAATGCAAACGAGTGCTCAGTCTCTATGTAGAAAATGTCAACATTGTACGGTCGACGATATCTATCAAACTTGTGCAATTTCTTTTCTAATCAAAGGTGCTTTTGTGTGCATGTGTGCAATCTGCATTTAAAGTCACGACACGATGACAATTCATAGAGGTCAACTGCAAAAAAATATATATAAATATATACCCCAATCTGTGTTTTATACTGGGAAAATAAATCATAATCACGAACTCTCTTTAAACATAGAATGTGGAAATCATCGACTCAACAGCAATATAGCGTGTGTCGTGTTGAAAGACACCCCTCCATCATGCGTCAGTGCCCTGCCCTCCCTCGCTGTCCTGTCCAGACATAAAAAACATACAAAAAAAAAAAAAAAGCCCCGCTTCATAAAGTGGGCGACCATTTCTCCTAAAACGAACCCCTTCCTGTTAGAGCTGGCCAGGAACACCTGCTTTACCTCAACACAGCCTCTGTACAGCAGCTTAGTAAGAGTTAACTGTAAAATAGTAGTAAATAGATTCTCTGGATGTGTGCGGGGAAATGCATGCGAGGTGTTTGGGCTGGTTACCCACTGACTGTACAGCGGAGCTTAGAATAGACGTTCACTTTTATGCACCCATTCAGAGACGAACACTAGGAACTCATTGGTTTTACTTTGTAAATAACAAACGTGTTAGGTTTCTTTAATAGGTATTTATTTCTTTGCAATAGTGGATGGAAAAAGCTGGCGGCCCTTTATTATCACAATATTACAGAAACAACATAAGAATTCATTTTAAGGCTAAACATCAGATTAAAAATGTGTCTCTTCAGTTCAGAAAACGAGGGCTTTAAATACCACATCGCCTCCTCTGATTGAACAAATGTAGACGTGAGCGATGTTGCCATTTAAAGTTACAGATGCACAGGGCAAACAAAACTCTAATGCCCGTCCAGACCGTGCTCACGATAAACCGTTGTGCTTGGCGCGTTCTCACATGTTATATTTCTATGAGCATTTCTAGCATTTCAATCAGTTGGTTTATGGCCTCTGCGATGACTCATGTACTTTCTGAATTTATCCTGCGCACACTCGTCATTAAAACCCTTTCCTCAGAGCTCCCACACACTCGGGTTAATGTGATCACACCTCAAGTTTCTTCAACCACCTTTTCTTTAAAAGAATAGTTTGACATTGTGGGAGATTTAGCTTCTTGCGGAGAGTTAGATGAGAAGACGGCCGGAGCAGGTAAAAAAATTTAAAAAATCCAACACTTTGCTAATAAGTGTGATTGCTGAAAGATTTATCTATAGGCCTCACCCATTTGTGTTATTGAAATGTGACTCTGTTCTACGAATTCCACTGTGTATTTGACTGTTTGGACAACCTTGGATAGAGATATCATGTCATCATATCATTTTTTTCTGGTAATTAGGTATCAAAGGTTTGTGGGTGTGAGCAAATTATCTCAAACTGCTACAACTCGTTGTCTAGGTTGACCTAATTCAGCTCAGGCCGAATAAGAAAAACAGAAGGCAAGACAAGAAAATTACTTCATCCTAATTACTTTTATTGCTTATGAATAGAAACAGAGTTTAGACTTTTTAAAAAGGTCAAACTAGCCTGAACCATTAAATAAAATCCAGAAAATTCTGTCTTTTTGATGCTGGAGTGCTTATTGAACCTTCTGAAAATGAAGAAAATAATAAATTAAAATATCAGTTTGCATATATGTTTTTCAGAGGAATAAAATTCACACTGATGATGTAGAGGTCTCAAAAACTCATAAAAGCTCACGTATAAATATGATACACCTGGCATTACAGGGCTGGTTTATAAGCAATCAGCTTCTGCGTTTCAAGAGCTGCAGCAGCTTTCAGCGAATCACGCTGCAGTTTGTCCAAGTGTTTCGTAACATGTTTTCTCATCTGTTTAATCTCCACAAAAATATGTAAAAAAGCCTAAAATTAAGGAAACTTAGTTACATGTGGCTGTTTCTTCTTGTCTAACTACAAGCAACAAAGCAAACAAGCAAATTTCCTAAAATGTCTCAACTACCCTCAACGTGTTTACAGGTAATCTGAGTTTGGTCGGTCGTGTGGTACATGTGCATACTCTGGTCATTTCATTTGTTCCATTCCCCCGAAGCCCCTCCCATCAAGTCAGCAAATTTCCAAATTTTATATGTCTTTTTCTTTTTTGACTGAGAGCATGAATGGGGAGAAGAACAAGAAAAAATAAACCAAAAAAGAAAGAAGAAAAAAAAACATAGAAGCGACTTAGCACATGAGCTTGGAAGTGATTGTGGTTTACCAGGGTAAGCGACCATGAAAGTTGACCACTAATGAACATTCTTGCACTGTAAATGTTTTATTTTCTTGGTGTTAATGTAAGATTTATTTAAGGTGTACATATATACAGATACAAATTAACCATATAAACTATATGTGTAAAAGAAATATGTCTCTTTATGTAAAAACACAAAGTATATAATAAAAACAAATAAAGATGCTTCAAATATGCAATAGTGTGTTTGATGTCTTTTTTTTGTTGTTGTTTTAAAAATAATACTCTTTATTTCTTGCTATTACATCAACTTACCTAATGAAGTAAACTATATTGAGTCATGGGAAGTTCCACATTAGAGAATTAAAGTCATGTAACGTTTCAAACTCTGGACTTCTACGGTGCTAATTTTAAAATTGTGAAACTCTTTCTTGATAACCAGTTCTGCTGACTCTGAAAAAGCAGTCCTGGCATGCAGGGCTTCTTATGCAAATGCATCTCGACTTACCACAAAAAGTGGTAAGTCGAGATGCATGCCACTACAAAATAGACTTTCTTGGCAGTGATGCCAGACTGTCTCTATCCATATTTTAAAGACGTAATAGGACTGCTATTAAGCACTTATCAACAATGATACTGTAATGTAAATACATTGGCA